CTTCAAACATCAAATAGGTTCAGAGTCACTTTGCCGAGTGACATGAGTCACTTCCCAGAGTGTCTTAGAACTTTCAGCAATAAACACAAAATTTCAAAGTCAACAAATTCAGTTTAGAAACAAAATACAGTAACAACAATCGTGCGTGAATAAAGCAGACATCAATTCTCCCAAACATAAAACAAAGAACATATCCTATGCAGACTAAAAGAAATCAAGAGCAAACCAGTCACCGCAACTCAGTTTGTTGCAGGCACACTCGCGAGAGTGACTAATCTCACTCTCCAGAGTGACTGAGATCAGAATCTGGTGCATTTTTGGATTACCCATTGAATTGGGATGGCATTGATACTTCTTCTGTACATGGAAGCACACACATTAAACAAGAAAAAATTAAAATCACACAAAAACTAATTAAAAGGAAAAGAACATGGGTTGCCTCCCATGAAGCAAGCAAAATGTTGAAATGCAAGATGCATTCCATAATCAACTCTTGTGGCTTCAAGTCACTCAGAATAGCTATCTTGATACCACAAGAATGTGCCATCAATGCTATATCATGCCTCCAGGAAGCATTCTCTTGAATCATCCAACATAGAAGAAAATCTATCTTCCTCCACTCTTCGAACACTTCAGGGATTTTCTCGGCTTGAAATTGATCAAAATTAACCATCTCTTCTTGCGCTCCTCAAGTATGTTTACCTTTGACTCCATCAACATGACCCTCATCAATGGAGATCGTTGACTCTTTTTCATTCATCAAGGTACTTATAAATCCAAGTCAACTACCTCTTCATTTGGAGGACAAGTCTCATCAATTTTTAGCACATCCACCAGCTCACTCCCACAAGTGAGTTTCTCTATTCCCTTGAGTGAGTATGGTGGTGGAAGAAGTATAGGTAGTGGCTGTAGTACCACCTCCCTTGGTTCATCTTCTACTTCATTGTTCTCCATTGATGAGATTACTTTCTCATGAGCTTCTTCTCTCTCTCTCTTCTGGAGTTGTTGTCAATTATAGTTTGGAGATGAAGACTCATTCGTTCAACACTTTTCACAACCTCATTTAGCATATAATTCATCTCTTGGAACTCTTTTTGGCGCTGTGCTTCTTGCATTCTTTGGACAGCCAATTGCATTCTATGTCTCATCTGCAACACTTCTTCATATATCTCTTCCATCTTGATTCGGCATTGCATCTCTTTGTCCTCATAGCAAGAATACATTGGTGGAGTAAAGTAGTTGCAATCCTGTTCATAAGAGTGAAAATCATTAGTTGCATAACAAGGATTAAAACTACAATAAGGTGCATTATGTTGGTTATCATTCCAATCATATGAATTTCCTATATATAAAGGATAATCTGCCATCAAACTTCAGAGTTGGTACACTCTTTTCAAATTAGAAAATTAAAAGAAAAGAAACAAAAACAAAGAAATGGTTAAAAGAAGTTTTTCGCCGTCCCCGGCAACGATGTCACTTTTGGTAGGTTGTCGAAGCCCCCAAAATAATTTACTAACTTAAACTGTAAATAGGATAAGTCAGGTCGATCACACAAGGACGGGTTAAACTTCAAATAACCGGAACACGAAATTAGACAAACAAGAAAGAAAGATGAAGAGTGTCACTCACTTGCACGAGTGGGTAAAGTCGCTCAAGCAAGTGACTCTGCAGAACTGAAGACAAAGAAAGACAAATGGAACCTCACACACGGGAGTGAGGTTTCATTTGTCTTTGTTTGTTTTCAGTTCTGCAGAACCACTTGTGTGAGTAACGTGCAAGTGAGTAACACTCTGCAACTATTGGTTCTTGTTTGTTTTCCGGTTATTTGAAGTTTAACCCGTCCGTATGAGATCGACCTGACTTATCCTATCTACAGTTTAAGTTGGTAAATTATTTTGGGGGCTTCGACAACCCACCAGTACGCCGATTGAACTTGGATTCACATCTTGCGTCGGGCATATTAGGTCAATCTATTACATTTGTTAGGGCGACACAATTTGTAAAATTGATGTCAACAGAACCATTGACAAATATTTAGATGGTACTCTCTCCTCTGTTTAGACTTTTGTATAGGTGATTTTTTGACAAATGAATAAAATAAAACATTAGATTTCATGTAATCTACAAAATCAATTAGCCGTGGAACAATCTATTAGAACGAAGTTTGCGGGGCATGAAGAGAAAAGCTTGTGTAACGGAGGATTTGGACAATTAATCCTTGATTTATGCATTGCGATTTTCCAATACATTCATAGAATATTTCGTTTGCCTAATCTGCAAAATTAAATTAGTGGGATTAGTATTTGCGAATAACCTACTAAAACGAATATGGTAAGAGAAAAACATATGAAACAAAAGATTTGAATTTAAACATTTAGACCAATCACATTAATTTTATGAAGAACCCTAAAGTTGGGATCTTTCTTCGCAGGATTGATTAACAAGGGTCACAGGGGCAAGAATGACAGTGACAAGAACATAGAAGGCATTGACATATCTTGGACCATCCAGATGTCGGCGTTACCGTTCTGTTATTGAAGCCTTGGTTAAGGTAACCAACCGGTTCGAATAGCCGTCTGATTCTTCCTATTGAAGGGTCACTCACGGTAGCAGACTTCTCCTCTTTCTCCTCCATAGCGGCACAAAAGTTGGAACAAACGGCAAAAATCAAGATAACTGCCGTTAGTAGAAGCAGATTGGTTTTTTTTTTCATTGTGAAAACGAAAGAAAAAAGCTGGATAATAACAAAGAGGAGATGTCTGGTTTTGAGTTTCTTATAGGTCGTACCCCATGTATATCTCTCTCAAAATGGTTAGTTGTTGATTCTCTAATCAATGCATGCTTACCAAAATGTGTTGGTTGATTTGTCATATGTATCCACGTTTTTTTCATGAAAGGGATACTTAGGCGACATTTAATTTTCACCTAATCTTTATGGATTTTCTTATATTTATATAAGACAATTATAAATACAGAGCTATTTTGTTATATAAAGAGCAAAATCTTTTCAATTACCGATAATACCCTTACAAAAATTTAACACATCTACTATATTTTTTTTTCTCTTTTCTTTTATGGATCATGTAAAAACCAACCTCCTATTCCAAATAAAAAACAAAAAACACTTGCGTAAAGCTTTTTCTTGTCCAAATTAAAAAATAAAATAAAATTGCGTAACTTGTTTTCCTTCTCCAAATTTAAAAAAACTTGCATAACTCTTTTATCTTCTCATTTCCTGTGATTTTGAATTAAAAATTCTAACACCGAGTTAAAAAAAAAAACTATTAAGACAAGATATTTGAGAATTTTGAAAGAAAAGACCATACAATATCACCTGTCAATTTTTACTTGCTTGGAACCGAAACGTGTATTTTATATTAATGATATTTTTTTATCCACAAAATTCTCAAAATATCTTATTTCAGTAATCTTTTTATTATGTAGTGGAAGTTTTAATTCAAAATCACAGGACATGGGAAGAGAAAAAAGTAACAAAGTTTTTTTTTTTTAATGTGGAGAAGGAAAAAAAGTTATGCAACGTTTTTTTTAATTTGGGGAAGAAAAAGAAATCACAATTTTTTTTTAATTTGAAATATGAGTTTAGCTTTTACTTTATCCATAAAATAAGAGAGAAAATTAAAAAAAAAAATAATTATAGTAGATGTGCAAAACTTTATATAAAGGGTATTATTGGTAATAGAAAAGATTTTACTCTTTATATAACAAAATAGCTTTGTATTTATCATTGCCTTTATACAATAAGACTATAACAATAAACTTTTCTAAAATATCGAATTTATTGTTTAATATATTTACCATATTTGTTTGCATATTTTTTATTTTCATCCACTTATCCTCTTCTTTGTAACTAGATTTAATCCCGTCCAATGCAGGGGATATATGTTTCATTTTTATGATTTTTGGTTAAAATAAAAAAATGTATAAACCAGTTTTTGAAATTCATTATGTAAAAAATACTATGTAAACAAGTCTTGTGCCCTATCACAACAAAGCAAAACAATAATGTCCATTGTCCAAAAAAAAAAAGGACTTTTGGTATAATTGGAACATTACCGTGTTTGCTTGCATACATTTCTCTAATGCCCATTTGGCGGCATCCAACACTAATCTCTTTAGCTTTAGCTAGATAGAATTAGAATCGAATTAGAATTAATATATTGTAGGATTGAAAATGAGAGATATCACGATTCAATTTTGGATCCTTTGTTTGAGAGATCTAATGGGAGTCAATACATACATCCCTTTTACCCTATTAAAGCAGAATAGAGGATGTTGATGTGGCAACTTCTTATTAAAAATTTTTGGCTCCAAATGCACCATATTGCATTAACCATTCTGCCACGTGTCATCCCTTTTTAAAAGAAAAAAGAAATTCTTATCCAGAAAAACAAAAGCTACTTTACAAAAAATAGCTACACAATTTTAACTCCTAACATTTATCATTTATCAATCAAATTAAAATAGTATTTACATTTGTCCATAAACTTATCCCCTTTATTACTCTATATTCTTTTGTATGATTTCTGAATCGTTGTACTTTTCAATATTTTTTCTCCTTTGGCAGATGATTTTTTTATTTTTATAATTATTTTTTACTAAAAAAGAAAAAAAAAACAAATGTGTAGCTATTTTATTTTTTCCAAATCAAGAATTCATTTATTTATTAACATAAAATTAAAGTAGAAGGGCGCCCGGGCATCTGCTTGGGCCAAGCATCTAGTATTTTTTTAGAACACTATACATACATACTGTATTTAAATACTCATGTAGACATAAAAAATCATTCCGTGGAAGTATGATCATAGGTAAACATTTCATAATAACCAAACACTTTTTACTTTTATAAAAATTGAAACATCGCTATATATAATTTATCAGAGTAACTTGTGCATAGTTTTAGATTTAAACTCTTCGAATTTGATACATTGACTCTCTTGGACTTTTTCTTGTAGATTATTGATAAAATAATTTCCAAAATTTTCTGTATATTATACTTTTACCAAAGGAAAAAAAAAAAAAAAGTTGTTTGTACCTGAGCAACCGACTGAATTGGACATGGTACCAAAAAACCTAAATGTTGAAGGAGGTTGCACCTTAGTGCACATTGTCATATCTTCTAGTGTCACATCACCATGTTTCTCACAAAGATTTCATTTGCTCCTTTGATTTCGAAGAAGTCTGGATACCATGATAGTGGCACCATGGCACATATATGATATATCGTTAAATTAAAAGTACATAGTACAAAGATACACCGAGAATTCTTCTTGGTATTAGTACCATTAGCCTAAAGGTATTCAATCAAACAGTTACTTTCGTATATTTTTTGTACATAACTAATATTGGCAGAATATTGAACAGAACTATGCAAAGGTAATCTGTTGTTGCTTCAAGAACAGCGCCTGCAACGGGTATATTACAACAAGTTCTGTAAAAGCTGATTCCTATCACATGAGGTTAACATCCTCAACAAGTGTTTCGGACAGGGAAGTATCTATCAGTCGGCTGTGTGACCGACCGTAGAACGTGTATATTAAGGCACCCAGTACCAGCCACACAGAAACACGTATCCAGGTACCTAATCTGAGATCAGATACTCAAGGCTATTATAGTCTGAAAAATAACGAATAAAACCCTGAAATTAGGAGACTTACCCAAGGTTAGTTAATAAGTATGTATTCACAAAGATGCAAGCCACAGGTAGATAAGGGACGAACGGGCATGTGAAACCTGGAAAAGAATTGAATAAAATTAGTTGTCAACAATTGGTACCATTAATTGGCATAAACAGAGAAACAGAAGAGGCAAACCATAAATAAGGCATCAACGCATGTTCTGCAATGCAGCAAAAGTTGGATGTAATAAAGAAATTTTACAAGATTTCCACAACAAAAATGCAGCAACGAGTTGCCACTGCTGGGTAGCAGCATCATGCAAAACATTTCACTATAGAAATAGCAATCATTAATTTAAGGAGAGAATGATGGAAATATCGCAAGGTCATATCTAAGGGATCAATACTAATGGCCACCGAAAAATTAGGATCCTATACACTTCTTACAAAAGCTTTAAATGTACAACCTCCAACTAATCTCCATATGGTAATGAAATAGAGCTTCTTGTTATCTTAAGAAGATAAGAAAAATTATGAAAATGGAAGTGAAGAGTAACATTACCAGTACCCATGCAAAACGAGAATAGAAAACGGAAAAGAGAACATAAATATGAAATTAGATCTATTTTCACAAACCACAATAACCTCCCTGTATAAAGAAACCATTTTGTTTTCATTTTTTGGTTTGTTTGTGATTAAGAAATATTAGAAGGTGTAGAATATAAAACTAAAAAATTTTAAGCTGAGAACTATCCCTTGAGATTTGAGTATCAATGGAAAGTACAAAATATTTTGGTTTTGGGAGACTATTCAGTTTATTTACATGAATCAACAAAATCCAATGCTTACCTCCAGAGTACCCAAATCCGGGACTTGCTTCAGCTTCATCTGTAAAAGAGAGGAGCAATAACCCACTGGATAGAAGAACCCCACCAAATCCACAGAATATCAAGCGAGCAACACTGGCAAAATATAAATGATGAAATTCCAAATTACAAACTGAAAACATTTTGCTTGAATTTAAAAAACAAATAAACCACAAACAAGAAAAAATAAACTGAAGATGAATGAGAGAAATATAAAAGTAAAAATATACATCATCAGATGATTAAGAAGAAAAACCAATCAGATGAATGCTTCTATTCAAATCAGTTGCATTTGCTTGATTTTATGAATAAATTAGAAAGTGAAACCTATTTTTTCAAGGTGTAAGATGAACCAAGAAGATTCTTAATCAGCTTCCTATCCTTGTTATACTACCAAAAAGCAATAACTTACAAATGGAATTTTGTCTTATTAAACTTCCTGACACACATTTCCAGTCCAATATATTATCATCACAAGAGACATTAGCAAATTCAACTCTGCGATTTTCTAAAAACTTCATTCTTAATTAAGCTAATATTATCAGTAGCCCTAGTTGAAAGCGTATTATTCAAGTTGAACAGCAAACTGACTTTTCAATGAGGACAGTTAACAGCAACTAAAAATTAAAACATCATTATACGTCTTGCATGCTTCTTGCTTCGAATAAGATGATTCAAAGGGACTGACAAAGGAGATAATGGCTGTTCTACGTGCTACAAATACACGGAACAGTGGACTATAGATGAAATTAACAACAATGTCAAGAACAAGAGCAAGTTGACCTACCAAAGAAAATCTCCAGCTGAAGAAGCTGATGCCAGAGCAAAAATCCCTATGCATATTGAAGCAATGCTGCAAGAAACTATTTTCCGTCTTCTCTGTTCGTTCAGAGAATCTTTTACATAACACCATGAAAAACAAAAAAAAAACAAAAAAAAAAAAATTGATCATCAAATACATAAGAAAGGTTAACTTTAGTAAACCGATAAAACTAATGGAGGAAAAAAAGATAGACAGATAGAGGACAACAGTGCGCAAACAGAAATTATTCGTTTTTCAATAATTTTTTAGGTTCTGCTTCACTCTTGGACTATACAACCGTGATCTCCATTTCAAAATGACTTGTTACAGAAAAAATATGCTGACATACTCTGAATTCAGGCTTTCCTATAATAGATTTTTTTTCCTTTTTTTCTTTTTGGTGGATATTTTGTATCTTATTGAATGGATATACTGGGATATTTATACAAGAATATTGACTCTTATACTATCAAATAGCAGTAACTACTAGATAAGATCAAATCACAATATTAATTACCTGAATCAAATCAAATATTCTAATCCTATCTCATCTAATTATATTCCACTAATCATGCTAACACCACCTCTCAAACTCAAGTTTGAACAACTTGAGGTTGCTAAGAGAGTCAAGAGTACTCAAAGCGGGGCTTTCCTATAATAGATATCATGCAGTATCAATGAGAAGAAACTCCAAATTTCAGCAAGATCTGCCTTCTCATCTCTTAAAACCCTGTTAACCACCCCCAAAAAAAGACAAAAAAAACACAAAAGAAAAGGAAATTGAAACATTCGCCAGCTTCCCTTTATGTATCCATGAGTCAACATGATGACTATGCTTAGTGACTCATGGGAAATTCTCTAACAAGCTAGATTTTAAAAGATTAAGTTCTACAGAGCAATGCCCCATCAGTTACCATAATCTGGTTACAATGAATACAACTGGCCTTTTGATGCTCTCTGTGATTGCAACAAGTGAAAATCTATTTCAGAAATGTGATCAGGCACTAGACTCGACACTTAATAGTAAGATAAAGAGTCAAAGATATCCATCATTTTATTCATAAAATACCAGGGAGTGGATGTGGGGCAACTCTTAAAAGCTAATTGTTCCCAGACCAATCAAGAACACAGCAAAAGAAAACCAAATTGGAATGACCAACAAATTAACTCAAACTTCTGCTTCGTAATGGAATCACACACCTTCATTACCGACCAGAAGATGAACATAAAAAATCAGAAAGCCCGAAACACTTTAATTAATAAATAAATACAATAACAGAAACATCAAGAAAATGCAAAACATACAGAAATGCAAAAATGTCCTGAAGCCAGAAGATGGAATTAATAAGCTTTTTCAGTAGACCTAAGCATCCAACATCGCATAAAGGAGCGTTGTTTTGTAGTTGTTCCTAGCTCAATAAACCTAAGCAGCAGCAAAATACAACAAACATGAGGCTAACAGAGTTCCTAGAAGAATAGCAGACTGCAAGAGGGCAACTGCAAAAGCATAGTATTCTGGTGTCTTAAATTTTCATTTCCAGGATATCCAGTGAAAAATAAAACCTGAGTAACTGTCAAAACACTTCAAGACTAGCTTTATATCACACGAATCATTAGTGACAATTGAAAGTAGCACACATGACACACCACTGCAACCTAATATACCAGCATAGAAGTTAATAAAATTTACTGTACCTTGGACAGCATCTAACTGAAGAAGGGGACTCTTTATTGTGTTCTCTGTATTACCACAGAAACATTGACCAATACAGTGGCAACCACCAGCAGGATGGGGAATTGTTACACTGCCAGATTCTTTAGAATGGTTGTCAGTCGGAAATGACGATTCAACTGATTGCTCAGTCCTTAAGTAAAGAGGCACCTCAGGAGGTGGAATATATCTGATTACCAAGACCGAAATAGCCACAATGGTGAAAGCAAGCAAAGTGCCCACACTAACCTGCCATGCGAGAGAACAAATGTTCAAAATCGTAATATTTTCTTCAACTCTTCTTTAGAAAGTAACTTAGAAGGCAATCTGGTACAAATCTTTGATTTCTAACATCCGAAATGTGCATGAAAGGGTCAAATTTTTCACTTTGCTAGCTTCTAGAGTGGCTCCCAACACCATCCTAACACTTTTCTTTAATCCCAACTTCAACATATCTGTCCTTTCAGAGCAAACCACAATTGAAAGCAGCAGTGCGACTCAAGAATCATTTAAGCTTCAATGATGATTCTCCAGCTTAAGGCTTAAACTTCATTAGCTCACCCAACAGACATCTACAGCAGTAACTTCAAAAACTTTTACAAACAAATGATTCTTCCCTTTAGCCATATACATAAAAAGCACTGTTGATTTGGCACTCGCAATCAATTATCCACAGTTGAGAATTATCAATAAGCGGTCCATCCAGGAGGGACAGATGGAATTGACCAGGACCTCAGGCTCAGTCTTTCAGATCCTAAGCGGGGAGAAATATAATGGGAGATGAAAAGTATTATAGAGTTTTTCCCTTTTTGAAAATAATGTGAGATGAATTTTTGAAAATTTGAGTTTTAAGTTATCAGGATAGTAGTTTGTTTGATATACAGAAAAAGTTAGGGCCTACGCAATTGACCAACAATCTGTCCACATAATTGCTTGGTTGTGGTTTCAACCTTCCTTGCCCATGCCAGATACAGATCTAATATAGATTACTCCTCTTCCTTGGATTTGATTGATTAAGAACTGCCAAACCAGCTTATATCCACAATGATGTGGCAACTACTTGATAAAGACTAAGAACCACTAGGTGTCATAACAAAGCACTAGATAGTTTGAAAACTGAAAGAAGCAACTTTTTGAATTTGAAGCAAGAAAGAGGAGTTTGGAAATAATACCGACAACTTTTCAAAGTGAGTTTAAATCAGTTTAACAAACTATTGAGGAGAATGGTTTCTCCCCTATAAAATCAAGTCTTCTTCCAAAATAAATTATAAATAAACTAAATGATACGACACTTAAACGAGGTCTGAATCGAGCAAACAAAAATCAGGGGAAAAGCTTTTCCAACCACACCTATCAAATATAAGGTACTCACTTACCATCCCTGCCAACTGCGACACATCCATGAAGAAAGCTAGGCTTGCAATAAACATCCCTGTTAATATAGTGCTCTTGACGGGAACTCTGGTGTGCTTATTGATGTCTGAGAAAAGTGACGGAAGGAGTCCATCCCTAGCCATGGCCATCAATATTCTAGGCTAATACAAGAGCAACAAAACAAATATCCTATAATACGAACTACCAGATGAATAATCCAGAGAGTAAAAACAAAAAATTCATCACAACCACAGACTCATGGCCGCATACAAAATACAAAAAAAGGAGGAAAAAAAACGAAAGAAAAAGGAAACCTAAACATGGATTCACTCTGATAGGCATATGTAATCATCAAAACAAGAAGAAAGCCAACTAAATCACCACGCACCGACATTACTGTCAGAATATTGTTAATGCTACGTTTCATATTAACAAATCGGTGATAACCGTAGTATGGCCATGTCACAACTAAATATCGAACAATGTCAAAGTTGGACCAGAAACAGGGAAGGATATGCAGGCCACACTAACAGAATTTTGAGATACATATTCAAGTCAGGAGATGGAAAAAAGAATGACGTCATGTATTTTCAAACTGCCGCAGAATGCGGATTTTAGAAAACAACAATTTCATGCAAGTTACGTTCAAGTAGTATTCCTTTTTCTGCTGCATATCAACTTAATTATGAAGGACATGATACAGATGGTTGAAACACATCTGGAGCAAATGAGCTGGCAGCCACACAAGTGAAAAGGATTTCCTCTGATTACCAAACACTACTCAGAATTGAAGCGCAAAAGCAAGATCCAATTTTGGTGCCAATCAAGTGAATTTTCCAAACTTTTAGATAAAGGTATTGCGAGAATACATTTTTTATTCTTTCTCAGAACAACAACAAATGTAAACAGAAGGATGAGAAACGTATACACTGTAGCTTGAAAGTTAACCCAAGCTTAATTAATTATGGCATGTATAAGATGTTTAATATCATGAGTAGCATGAAAACATGTCATCTACTTAGGTCTGTTGCTCGATCCAATGCAAAAGCTAAACATTAGTCATAGCTTTTTTTTTACAAGTCAGCTACTTAGTTCAGCAATTGTTTGTTCACATTGTCACTTTTGCTTTTCCTCAATAGAAAGATAACCATTCTTTCTAGTAAAAAACTTGTGGATGTAACGAGTTTCCCCTTTTATGAAAGGAAGATAAAGCATCCTTCGTTAAAGAAAAATTGATGTGAAACTGCAATTCATCGTAGTATAATGCGGACTTCAAACTATTCCAACCTTGTTTCAAGCTGACATTACTGACTTCAAGAAGCAGCAGTTGCATGTGAAACATATCTAGCATCTATGTTTTAGTTATAAAACACCTTATTTTGTCAAGCATAGCAAAAACGTTAGCAAAATTCATCCTCCTCCTTTGTGCGAAAAGTTAAGGAAAAAAAAAAAAAAACTATGGCGTGCATATACAGAAAATGATCGCATTAGCAAAATATTTGATTGTATGCTTTACCAGAACTACACATGAGACTGACACGACAGAACATACTTAACAGGAATAACATCCTAAGGTTTTTCACAAAACTACCAACCTGTGGGAGTATTGCGCCCATCAAACTCGCACATAAAGCAGTTACAGATCCGGCAGTTATAATGTAACTGCATGAAAGTAAAATATCTCATTTTTATGAATCAAATGCAAAACCAAAATTTGGCATCATACATTAAACTTACACAGCCCAATACATTCCGTAGCTGGCAAATGCAGACGAAATCGGGGTGTCCGGATCTAACGCATAGAAAGGAACCAGCCCAACAATAACAGCAGAAACAAGCATATAAAGAGTGGCGCACATGAACAGTGATATAGCAATACCAAGGGGCAAATCACGTTCAGGATTCTTCACCTGTAAGGATTACCCAATTAATCACTTTACTGGTTCCAAATTAGTTGAAGAAACGATGCAACTCGATCAAATTCCAATATTAACAATCTTTTTTTTTATATCAGTGGAAGGATCAAATATAGTTAAACAATCATGATTTTCACAAAGTTCCATAATACCCAGAAACAGGTACATCAAGATATTATAATTAATAAATTACACATAACCATTTTGTGGCGAACAAATTACCATGAATGCTGAAGCTATACACTGTATCACCCTCTCCTACCTTGGGGCAGACATGTTTTCCCACTAAAATACCCGTATTCTCCTCCATCTCAAGAGATGACACCGGGCAAAAGATATAATTCATCAAAATAGAGGGGACTTACTAAGCTAGGATCATTAACTTCTAATTAATCGATTAAAATATGCACTAACGAGGAAAAACTCCCCTTTTCAATCCATTGCTATCTTTATAACAACTCACCAGTAGATCGAAATTATTAATCAAAGAGGTTCCAACAAACTGCAGAAATTCCCATGGACAAACTCACACTACGCAAGAGCTAACAGATTCAGTATACACATTTCTCAGTATTTGATTAGAAAGGAAGTGGAATGGATTAGTCATAGTTCATTTAAAAGAAAATATTTAGTTATTTTTAACACATGTTCATACCTACTTAATACAAATGCGTTACGAGTAAAATTATACTTGACACCTGTTTTTTGAATGCCAATTTGCAACTGCATTAATGACAGCAGTTTCTCAGTGGTTAGGCTTGGATGTTCTTTGTAAACAGAGTGAGTGGAGGGAAAGAATTCTAGTGGAGGAATTGTAAACTGAAAAGAGGCATTCTTTTCTCTGCAATGGCAACTGTGATATAACGTATCTGGGAAGAAAAGAATGGTAGGTTGTTTGCGTTGAGGGAATTCTGCAAAGCATACAGAAAGAAGTACAATGGAGATTTGAGCACTGTGTTGGACAAAAAAAGACTGCTGGAGAAAGGGAGATTCTGGAAAGATTTTTTGTTTTATGCATGTACAGCGTTAGCACATAAAATATAGAAATGTTTGTAACAGAGAGTTTTGGTTGTAAATACACACTTCAAGGAAAAGTATCAATATATATCTACATTTTACCCCCAAAAAAAAAAAAATTATACATGAGGGGGGAAAGGATTTACTTCAATTGCATAACAAACAGAAATCAGTCACTAGTTTTATGGGTACACTGTACCTCCTCTGCTGTGCTGGTGAGACAATCAAAGCCAACAAATGAGAAGAAAAGGGTTGCTGATCCAGCTAGTAAACCATTCACACCATAAGGGAAGTATCTAGAAAATCAATCGTACAAAAACGAAGTTGAGAAAATCTAAAAGATTTTAGAATAGTTGAGCACTAAGAAAAATTATAACAAAAAAAGAAAAGCTAACCCTGTTGGAATCTGATATCCTACCCATCCAGACTTCCATCCAAGATATCCTCCAGTTATACATACGAAGAGCATGGCGCCAATGTTAATAGTTGTAATAATTGATTGGGCCAATGAACTCTGCCAAAAATTTCAAAGAAAGTTTTAACGAATATAAAAGAGAGAAAAAAAAAAAATGTATGCACAAGAAGTACAAGTCCTGTACCTCCTTGATGCCAGTGCATAGGAGGCCAGTCATAATAAACACCAAGAATGCCGCACATGGATCTACCAGAATTCCAAGGATACTTTTCTGAGCCAAAAAAGCTGGCAATTTTTCCTGACCTCCAAAAAACAATGCCTGCAGGAACAGTGCTAAATCAATCCTACTGAGTATACGCATATCCTGAAGGAATAGTGGCAAAAGCAATGGCAGATAATGAATTTTGCATATCCTAATCATCCGCAGGCAGACGAATACGCAAAGTCGTACCCAAGTCATACATAACCCTTTATATCTAGTAGATCCAAGCAGGAACAGCAGCACAACATGGGATCAGGTGAGACAATATAATGTCAATCAAATCAATTCTACTGGTTATACGCTCTTTTCTTTTCTCAACAAAGAAAATCTTCCACTATTAGTGTACAAGTTCCAACAAGCCTAACATCATTTTGCGTTGAGTAAATTGTTTTGGATTTTCGCCATACATTGGAATTGTGTATCGTCTAGCTTGTAAATCCATAGACAACGAACAACTTTCCCCATGCATTCTTCAGGCCACATAATAGTTATAACTTACTGATAAGACAACAAAAAGACTCTTCACCTTCAAATAGAAGGAAGATATTGAAATAGGTTTAAGGAAATTATAGGACAAAGAAGCTCATCTTGTAACTCTTCTAAAAACCTTCAGGTCTAGAAAGAAAACTAAGAAAAGCTTTCTATTCAGTATATTTTCCGGAGGATAATGCTCTCAATAAGAACTATCTTCAAACTCTAACCCCCAAATGATGGCTTGAATGTCAAGCACAGTTTAGAAGAGCATGAACAAATAAAGAAAACGGGGTCCATTTGGTTCTCCTCTTCACTTTGCCTTAGTCACTAGTAAAGTTTGACCACATTGCCTTATGAACCCCTATATCCAGGGTGTTTACTGGTTTGAGGCAGAAAGCCACTATCAGGAGGTGGGCTTTGTTATTCAAAAGGAAAAGAAAATAACAAACGAATTTTCAAATAGAAAAGGACCAGAAATGATTAATAGATTTATGATGTCATAATAAAACGTGCATATAATAGTTTATGACTCATATGATGTGTAAAAACTACCCCATAAATCAACAATAATGGCACATGCATTGACCAACAAATAAAAGAATTGACTATGGGAACATCAACCTGTGCATATCATGATTCATTTTATTCAGGGTTACTTAATTCCATTTTTTCTCTGGTTGCAAAAACTACCATAATGGCCTCTGCATTTTTCAAACTACCAGTAATCCTCTTAACTGGTGAATCAAATAATATTTAGATCTCCAAACATTAGAGTAATGAACCCAAATGATAAAACCAGCAAAATGATAAAAATTTGAAAAAAGCAATTGTAGAAACCTTCACATAGCAATAAATGAAACTGTTGAAATCATATCAAAATATATATGTAGAGAGTCAAAGCAACTTAACAATAAACTTTTCCAATTTCTCACACATCAAGGATAGCTTCAAGATCTTATCTTATAATTTTCATCTTCCAGTTAAATATTCACCCCCATATTTTATCTTAAATGTGGCATTACAGTGTACTTCTTTCTAAACCAAACCAAACTCAAAGTTAATTCTAAAAATGGTAAAGCGGAGCAATTTATATACTTGCCCAAAACCAGGATTAATATTGCATTGTTATTGACCATGAGAAGTGGTGAACACACACCAATAAGGAGGAACGGGGGTAGTGGGTTTATTTGGACCATATTTCCTAGTATCATCCTCATGTTCATTGCTATATCATCATTTGGTCTTTTTTGTTTTTTGCCTCCTTTGCCCCCAAAACCCAACTTGGTTGGGACTATATGGGGAATGTTGATGTCTTTTGCACCCAAAGTGCCTATGGTACAGGTTCATACTTTGTTACCTGAAGCACATGTGGAGGCATTCTTCCTCGACTAAGCAATATAATAGCTAAGTATCCAGCATTCCAGGAGAGTACAAGCGGATACTAACCTAGTAGTAGAATTTTATTGATGGTGAGCTTCAGGGGTTGTTCAGGGCCGCTTTCCTTGAAATCAGAGTTTCCTACAGGTGCTAACTACCAACTCATCATGGTTATAATCATGCAATACTGTCCTACCAGCTAGATATGTAGCTGATCGAAGTAGTTTGAGACTGGATCAGTTTGACTAACGTCTTTTTTGTTGCTGTTATTTACATTCAATTTTGTTTTTCAGTCATTGAAAGAAGACACATCAAACTCTTCAAGCCAAATCCATGAGGGAAGTCTTATGAGTTATGGCATATACCTAGATGTCGGCACTATGGAAGCCTACAAACATAAATCAAGAAATCAGAGAGTGATGAATTTTCCATATAAAGGGCCATGGGTCTGGAGTCATGTTACTCTAGTTTGTAATGAGCCTCCTCCACTGCTCAAGGTGTGGTTAATAGGTTATAGACACAAATGACATCACTATTACAGATGCTACAGCATAAATTGTCTTCTTTTCCTATGCTTGGAAGAATGTTAATAAATGTAGTTGAGAATGAATAAACTTATCTCTTAAGACCCTTTTCCTCTCTACCACCTCAACGATATGCTTCAGGGAAACATCGTAAATCTGTGAGTAGAAAGGTAAAAGAATAGGAAAACTTTTTTAATGGAGATCAGACTTTCCAAAACATGGAAATAAACTTTCCTCGTGACCCCAAAGTTCAGAAGAAGGAAGTAAAATAGGGTAAAATTACAATGTTAGTCCGTCAAACATAGACCTATCCTCTCTATCTTGCAAATTTGACTATCCATGATGGTGGTATACAGGGAGAGGACACAAACATCATATATTAATTTAGTCAGTATATAGGATATAAACTAACCAAATTTGGGGATATCCCACGAGCCACTGCTGCACCACCAAGCGTAAATTCCAATATCAAGGACCAACCAATCAACCATGCAACACTGAGACCAACCAAAAGGACATCAATCAAGTGCCTGACAGCCATCCCTAAGAAGTACACATACCAACCTAGGATTGATTTCTAAGTATACAATAGATGGGATCTTTAAGAAGCATGCGTTAATAATCTCTATCATATCAATTATGAACATGTTGAAATAAGAGCCTCAAATTTTTCCAATTTTCCAGCAATTTAATCATTAAGATTTTCTGCACGAGTCACATAGATTTAAATGACCACTAAAATGGAAAACGAGAAAAAAAAATATATGCAGTTCAAAAAAAGTTATGAGTGAATAAGCACACGGAGGTGTTGTCAACAGCGAGGAAGTTAACCAGAGACAAAAGAGATAATTCACCATTCCTTCCTCTCGAAGCTAGTTCACAAGCTTACAGGTTGACACCACTTTCCATGTCATTAACTCTATTGAACACTTCAAAAATCTTCAAAAACTTTCAAAATAAAAATCAGTGCTATGATATAGATGCGAGGAACTTTTTCACCTCAGGCCTGTAATTTAAGGAGCTGGAAGGAAGATTGCATCTCTTAAATCAAACCTTAAAATGAAATGGTGCGACCGACCATCAAGTTATACTGATAGCTAGCCTCACAATTCATTGTATAAAAAAAAAAAAATTAAAATCCTACTTTAGCATTTATTTTTCGCAACAGTTAGTTCTAAGAAGACTAACAACAAACAACAAAAGAAGGCTTTGAGAATATGTGGGAGGTGACTATATTGGATCGTTATTCACCATCGTGCTCAGTCAACACACAAAATTCGTTAAATTATAAATAAGTCAAGTCACTTACAACTTCTAGGAGACTCTCGACAGAAAATTATTCCAAGAACATCATTTAATACTAAAATGTAAGCATTTTATAGAAGAAGGAAGAAATAAAAAGGAAAAAAAAAAAAGAAACGAATGAAAGAAAGGAACAATAATTAACACTTTTTTAGAGACATTTCATAGTACGCAATAGATTTTACCCTTCTCCAACACAAATGTACGAGTAATGATAGGCACTGCCAGCAGAGGGCCATCGACACGCAAGCTCTGCATAACATAATGCAGAAAGTGCAGCTGCTGTTCCAGCTAATAGAAAAGAGAAAGTTAGAGCTGGCCCTGTCTGCTCCCTTGCAACAGCTCCAATGAGTATATAAACTCCAGCTCCTATAGTTGATCCAACTCCTGAGCAAAAGAAGCTTGAACAGGATAAATATAAGTTTTCTCCTAAACGTAGGCGCTTGCACTACGAAAGAAAATGTAAACAGCCCTGGAAGGCTTAAATTTAAAATAAATTTAAAATTTGGCAGCATATTCTACAGGTATTGCTACCAAAATCAGCAGTTTTCACCCTCTGAAAATGTAAAGTAGCCTAAAACTTATGTGCCTTTCACATGAATGTGAACCATCGTATTTCTAGAATCTGTTGCCCAAATAATTCTTATTCATATATATAGAATTGATAAGTGTACATCGAAGTGAACTTTTTTTATAATAAATTCATCCAAGAAAAGAAATTAGGTTTAGTCTTGAAACAATTCATTACAGTTTACCCTAGACTTGTGAGGTACATTTATTTTATTATTAATTATTAAAAGAAATATTATTCGAGACTGAACCACCAACATCAACCACCAGTCAATTACTATGAGTCTACTGCATGTAGTATGTACTTGTGTAGATATATGTATATATATTCTATTTCTATAAATAGAAACATTTTATCCAAATAGCAATTAATAATTAATACAAGATTCAAAAAGCCCTTTTAACTCAGTGGTAAGAGTAACGCCTTACCCCAAGAATGTCCTATCAATTACTTTTCACCCATGGGTACATATGGATCCTTAAAATACTAAAACGGCTACCATTGGTGGTATCAAACCAATATCGATTCAGACAAGCTAAATTTTCTAATCGATAATTAGGCCAAAGAAACAACTTTAAGTTAATTAATTCATTTTTATCTTTATCAAGATCTTTCTCTTTGTCCAACAATTGCTTACAGTTGTTCTTGGTTAATCTTGTTAGGTCTGGGTGCCTTTCTTCTAGTATTCAAGGCTCTATATTTTGGAGGCGTGTATGATACCTGGGCTCCGGGAGGAGGGGATGTAAGAAAGATTACCAACTTGACCCTTTGCCCAAGCATCCTATTTGGATATTTACTAAAATCACCCCTTATGCGCTGGGCGACACACGTGCTACAATGGACGGGACAAAGGGTCGCGATCTCGCAAGGGTGAGCTAACCCTAAAAACCCGTCCTCAGTTCGGATTGCAGGATGCAACTCACCTGCATGAAGCCGGAATCGCTAGTAATCGCCGGTCAGCCATACGGCGGTTTAGAACTTCCATTACATTTTTCTGTATTTCAAACATATCAGCAATAACTTAATGCCGAAATAACAGCTTATTCTTCAACATAAGAAGAAGTTCTAAAATCACTTTTAAACTTTGGTCTTAAACGTGTGGCTTAAATAGGCACTGTCTGATGCAGGACGAAACGTGGTGGTTAAGAAAATCATAACTTAGGCTGATTAAATAATAATACGCAGCGGAAAACTAAAAGAATATGTAGGTAAACAACTACTGTTGAAAGCAAAAGCTCGCAGGAATTTTTATTAATCTGATAACTGTCTACAACCCTCAAAGACGGTACATATATATAGGTCTAAAACTTAACCTAAACCAAAGACAACTAGGATTCACACCTAATTTCCTTTTTTGTTCCAGAAAATCCTGCAGCATAGTTAAAATACTAAAATACCCTTTCCTAAAATTATTTCTGAAAATAATAAACTAATTAAATTGCTCCTTAGTAAAGGATTAACTTAACCAAAGTCCTAACAGTTTGGTTCCTTCCTTGGATCATGATGATCCTGGGCATAAATATGGAAGAACCTACTGATAGGGTTCTTCTACCATTCCTTGTCCCCATCATTCTCCCCTGGTTCGAAAAAACTCGTCCTCGAGTTTTAAAGTGTCTGAGAATGAAAAAACCAACAATCTGGAATTTATGCCATGATAATGCAGCATAATCATCATGAGAAAACTTCCTTCGCCCAAATGTAGGTATAAGAGTAGACATTTGGAATCTGCTTGCTGGGTTGTTGTCATAATCCTCTCCAAGAATGAAATCAATTTTCGGAATTCCAGGATCATAAACTTTTGAATGGCATAGCTCTAAAGCGTGATTCAACTTCACAAGAATTTCATTCACACTTGTAGCAAGATTTCCATGCATCATTTCAGTTGACTCCTCACACGAACCAGAATCTCCCTCCAATGTAGATTGTAGAATATTCCTCAGTAGGGCACCTCCTTTAGCTACTTCCCCTTGAATCTCATCAGGATTGAGAAGTGGTACTTCTTTTGGTTTATCATCAAACTCATTCAGTTTACAAGTCTTTGTTGGTTTTGTGATTTCATTGAGCACAGTACCCTGAATTCAAGGTTCCATCAGATTACTTCTTTGGACTATAGAGTTTTCAAAGAACTTCAATGTAGGACTCTGAACCTTTGAATGTGCCATTACAATCTCCTCTGGAAATTTATGAGCAACATGGATCATAGGTTTATCTTCAGGAACTTGGTTAACAAGGGAATCAGATTCCACTAAAGGTCTGTCTTCAAAATTCTGAATCTTAGCACCCATATCTTCCTCCTTAGACATGCTACTGAAATCCTAAGATAATTCTGAACCTTCAGGTTTTGCAGGTTGCGCAATCGCCAAGTCATGATCAGAACCTACATCTTGTATCATATCATTGTCTAGACCACTATCATCAAAGTTCTCTAAGTAGATAGAAATAGATTCATTATCTCCATCACCCTCTTTAACTTCTTTGCTAACATCTTCAGAACTATTATCTCCATCATCCTCTTCAACTTTTTATTAACATCTGATTCATCAACTAAATGTTCTTCAGCCTTAGAATCAGCAACTATGGCAGGTTGTGAGAACCATCTTGTGGCAGCAAGTTTCAGATGAGGTACCTTCCTTCCTTGTGTAACCAGCCGACGAAAAGGTTCCACTTGTAAAATTTTCTCAACTTGTAGTGCTAGCTGATAAGCTTCGTCAATTGAGTTCACTTTATACCCAAGAATCTCATCTCGAATTTCTGGTCTCAAGCCTAACTTAAATCGAGCCAATGCTAATTCTTGAGTTTCAGAAACTCTGTAGCAAACTTTTAGTTTCATGAATGCGTTTTTATATGCACTTACAGACATTTTCCATTGCTCTACATCAGCAGCATCATCATAGGGACGAGACATGTATTTTCTTTGCAACCGCAATTTCATCTCTTCCCAAGACATATTCAATCCTTGTCCTCGCCATCGCAAATCATGCTCAAGTTCTCTCCAATTTTCAGCATTGCTAACAAGACAACTAATAGCAAATCTCACTCTTCTCTCATCATCAGCCATGTCATGCCTATCAAAGTATCGCTCTAAAGTAGCCAACCAAACATTAAATACATCAAAACCATCAAAACCACCTCCACCATGAAATTTCAGATTATCAAATCTGAAGTAACTGGCTGTATCATATGAATTTATCCTTTACTTCATCTCAGGAGGTTCGAAAATAATATCCCCTAATCGTTGTGAATAGATTGAGGTCAGCTTCCAGAACCCTAGCTTCTAAAGCATCAAACTTTCTGTGGAGACCTTTTCTTAAACTTAAAACTCACCAGGAAATTCGGCTCTCATGCCAAATTGACGCAGGACGAAATGTGGTGGTTAAGAAAATCAGAACTTAGGCTGATTAAATAATAATACGCAGCGGAAAACTAAAAGAATATGTAGGTAAACAAGCTTAGAAATCGTAGGAAACAGAGATAAAGGGTAGGAAAAGAAGAAGAAAACCTAAGAATCACTCTTAGGGCCCTTTGGCATCACACCGAAGGAATCCTAGGCATCACACCAAGGGTTTAGTTGAGTCACACAACTAATTTTGAAAGCAAAAGCTCGCAGGAATTTTTATTAATCTGATAACTGTCTAAAACCCTCAAATAAGGTACATATATATGGGTCTAAAACTTAGGCTAAACCAAAGACAACTAGGATTCACACCTAATTTCCTTTTTTATTCCAGAAAATCCTGCAGCATAGTTAAAATACTAAAATACCCTTTCCTAAAATTATTTCTGAAAATAATAAACTAATTAAATTACTCCTTAGTAAAGGATTAACTTAACCAAAGTCCTAACACTTTGGTTCCTTCCTTGGATCATGACGATCCTGGGCATAAATATGGAAGAACCTACTGATAGGGTTCTTCTACCATTCCTTGTTCCCATCACTGTCCCAATATAAACTCAGTCAAATAATGCAAAAGAAACTACAGAACATACAGCAGAAGTGAAGTAACAACAAAGTTTGTTGCATTGAGCAACAAAATAATTGTTCGGCAGCTTAAGCTCCACAACGGAAACAAAACTTTATAAATTCTTATTTTCCATAATATTCTGGCAACACACTATTTATTTCTTTTTTGAAATCCTCCCTCCCCTTTGCAACAAGGCAAGAATCATTTTCACTGCTCTGTCAGCACACATCTTCTTATTTAGATCAAATAAATCATGTCTTTTTGTTAGTCATTTTTCCAATTCCTTCTGAGAGTTCCACGTTGTGTTTTCATTTAACCAAATGATCATCCGCAGACAGTTTTTTATGTCTAATATATTTTTACAGGTTTTACCAAAAAAAAAAGAAAAATGATCATCCGCAGTCTTTCCTTTCCACTGCATTCATAATACTGAAAATTGTGCTATTAAAGATTCATCTCAACATTTAAATTCTGCTATGCTAATTTCTACACCCCCGTGATCAAAGCATCTAAAAATCTCTCCAGTCCTATATACCATGTACAATTTCAGGCCATGGATAACCTTTTACCACTTCAAAATAGCTTCCCTTTTCTTAACAAGCACATATACATAATTTAACAGAATCAATTGCTCTGATCTTAATCAAGTTACGACCTGAACATCTTTGCTAAGACAGAGTCTTGTCCTAACATTATCAAATTCCACACAAGATAGAAGTCTCGGATACTTCTTAACGAACAGGAAAATGCCTATTCATCCGACCAATAGTGTACTGACTTAGCAGTCTAAAAGCACCGACAATGCACACAATGTATGCGCGCAAATCCTTGTTCCTAAACCCGAACTGCAAATTTATCTATCTTAATATATGTGATTGACAAAACCAAACACCATATACATTTTCGACCATAATTTGGCTATACTCCCTTCCAACTTAACCTTTAAGGTGTGTGAATGCAAACTTTTTGAAACAAAAAAAAATGGGGAAAAAGGGAAAGGAATTCAATTAAGCACAAGAGAATTTACCAATGCCGACGAGGTCGAAAACGGAGAGCCTCTTGGCCAATTGAGACGTTACTCGTTTGTTGTTGTTGGAGTCACCTCGCTTTCTCCTAAACAAACATTGGAATCCTCCGGATGATGATGGTGGCGGTGATGATGCGTCTCCGCCGCTACTCTCGCCGGCAGCACCTAAACGTCCCATCTAACGTGAAATTTGGATAAGGATGGCCAACGTAAGTAAATTAGAGGACGTGGAAACCGGCTTCACATCAGATCTTTGTAATCGGTTGCTTTTATAGGTTTGGACTTTGGACTTGGATTACAAGTCAAAAAAATTAACCCACGAAAACTTTACAAATAAAAAAAATCATAATCAAATAGACTCCGTAAATAAAGGGTGTTTATTTTTCAAGCCACTAAGATTACTACTTGAAGCCACCACTTTTAAAAAAACATTCTAAAGACTTTTTTATTTTTTTACCATTTTTATTTTGTAAAATTACTCAAATAAAACGTGTTTTATGGTTCAACAATTCATCATTCCTCATACTCATAAATCTTTATTTTTTCCTTCATCAATATTCAATATATAATATAATTAGGGAATGTAAATTTGAGTTTGGTTTTCATTCTTTAAGTTACCTATTATGATTATTTTCTTTTTTGACTAAGAAAATAAGAAGACTTAAAAGTTACGATTTGGTAGTCCGTTCATGCTCTAACCTATGATCTCCTTCCTTTCAATAGTAATTTTTTCTTGAAAAATGATATATAAATGATTGGTGGAATGTGATAATGATGTGGTAGATGTGGTACATAATTAAGTATTTACTAGACTATCCCTTATGTAGTTATAAATTTAGTGGATGGTGTTTTTGTATTTTTATGAGTTATTACCCTACTTCACAATTATATATTGTCATAGAGCTGGCAATTGAGCGGGTAGGGCAAGAATTGGACTATATTTAATGGGCAAGAAATTATTGAGTATGAAATTTTAACTATCCAATCATTTTATACACAAATATAATAGGTACGAACTTAGAAACGGACAACCCAGTATCCGTGGAAATCCATGAAGTACAATTATTTGAATGATATTTTCCATTTGGGCAAATTACATTTGGCCCCTTGTGGTTTGGCCGAACAACGACGCGGACCTTACCGTTTAGGCATATAACCAATGCCCCCTTTGACCAGCCAAACTTGTAAGTCAATCGGCAAAGGGCACGAAAAGACCAAAAAACCTAGTCTTTTTTAAAAAAAATAAAAAAAATAAAATTAAGAAGAAATAAAATATGTAACAGATAAAAGATAAGTTATTTTCTCTTTCTTCATTTTCTCTGTCTTTCCCATATTCTCTCTTTGGCCATTCCTAATTTCCATCTCATCACGTTTCCGCCGTGGCCTTTGTTTCTACTCTGAAAATCCAGCTTCTTTCACGATCTCAACTTTGTTTTTCGATGACTTCATTGCTTATACATTCTTCCCTATTTGTTTTTTCTTTGGCCGCCCAATCTCCACAATGCATCATCTGCCCTTAAACCTGCGTCCTCAACCTCCTCCTCCACAACCAAAAAGTTCAAGATGAAAGAACTAAAAATAGCAAAGATAGCTCGTTTGGGCTAATGGGTTTTGGATTTGCTAAATCGGGGATTTGGTTGAGAAATAGGTCTAAATTATTTGTGAAATTTAGAAAATTGGATTGTGGTTTTAGATGTTGGTGGTGAAGGACCAAACCTTTTTAAGCATCAAATGGGATTAGGAGTTTGTGTAATCATGATGATGAATAGGTTTTTTTTTTTTTTGTGGTGCTAGTTAATGTTGACGATAATGAATGGAATTGATTTTTGATGCTTGGGACGATGATGATGATGATTGGGGATGTTTTCTTTATTGATATGAGTGATTGATGATGATAAACAGATTAATGAATAGATATTGATAATCCACATTGGTCATGCCTAATGGCTTTGAGGGAGGAGACAGGCTGCCGGAGGAGGAAGAATCTTGTGTATTCACGCGGTTGTGATGAGATGAAAGTTTTTTATTATCATTTTAATATTTAAGTAAACACAGATTTTTTAAACATAACGGCATTCTCGTCACAATATTCTAACTTGTTGCTGATGTAATTCCATAACATCATCTTCCCACTACCAAGGGGGTTATTTGTTAGTCGGTCAAAGAGGGTATTAGTTATATTCCAAACAGTGAGGTCCGCATCGTTATTTGCCCGAACCTCAGGGGGGTAAATATAATTCGCCCTTTCCATTTTCATTTTTATCTTCTTCTTTTTTTGACACAATAATTATTAAGTATTTAATGGAGCCCCCCAACCTCATCCGCGCTTAGTTCATTTTTTGTTTAAAGAAGAAGAAAATGCTAATCTCTTGAATTGGTTTCAAACGGGGGCCAAACAAAAAATTATTTTCAAATTTCAATTTTTTTTTACTATGAACAGAAATTTAATCTTAATCAAAGGTGGTAAGAGCTCAGCTATCCTAAATAGGTTCAGGAATAGGAATACTCTTAAATTAAGATGAACAAGCTTTTCGGTGAGCATTAAATTTTCGAACTTATGAAAATATTCAGGAATATGAGTAGCGAGCGCCTCCATTGTGCAGCGATTTTCATGATATATCTTCCAAGCTCTCCGTCGCCTTGAGGTTCGGGTATTGCCCGAGCTGAGAAGCAACTTGAGCAACCTTCTAACTGCATTGATTTAAGGAACTATTAGCATCTTCAGTTTGGAAAAGATCTATCAGCAATTTTGATGGAGTTGCAGTGGAGTTGGAGAGGAGGGGGGTGTCATGGCGGTCGAAAAGGAGTTGACGAGAGGAGAGTGGAAAAGGAGTTGAGTTAGTGGGCAATCAATAGTAACTAGATCCTTATCCCGGGCGAATGTCCGGGGTCCACTCATGTTTTAAATCCGTTAAATAAAAAAAAATAAATCATGTGATAATAATAATAATAATAATAATAATAATAATAATAATAAAATTGAAACATAATACAGGGAAAAAAGAACTATTTTAGGTGTTCGAGTACAACTGCTTCATAAATTAGGCGAAATAATATTTTCAAGGGATGGCCAAAAAATAAAGGAGTGCCTCCTGCACAATTTCTAAATATTTGAATAAACGTGACAAAATCCAATGTCACAAAATGACTAAACTAAAAATTAAAGAAGGGCTTCATTTTAATATTTATTTTTTGTCCTTTTTATATTTTACCTTCCAATATATATGAACCCTTAGGACTTTCTGAGAACATTTGAGTCTGTACCTTTGCATGTTTAATAATTTAAAGTGTCTCTATAAACAACAACAAGTATACTCAATAAGCAACTTGAGATTTATTTGAATTTCTTAACCAAATCAACAGAAATTTTTCCTAAAAATGATAAGAAAATGAATACCATGATCAGAAAATTTAATGGGAAGTGCTAGTGTGCTAAATATTCTTAAGTTTTGTATTTCAATCCTCGAAATTTTAACTAAATAAGGTGTGCACTTTTACATCTGCACCAATTATCACTGATTAAGTTATATAAAATCTCTTTAAATATGCATAAATAAAAATGTCATACAAATAATTACAACAAAAAATTGATATGTAATTAAATAATAATACTATTCCATAACCAAAAACAAAAAGTAGAAAAAAAAACTACATACTCCCCCCGTCCCATAATTATTGTCCACTTTGCTCAAAAAATTTTGTCCCAAAATTATTGTCCAATTTGACTTTTTATGGATCAAGTTACACATTTGTCCTTATTAAAAAACATTATCCATAAAATCTTAGTGGTTAAACAATTACTTATGTAGGGGTATATCCGGTTGTTTAAGGTAAAATATAGTTAAGTTTGACCAAAAATAAAATCTTTCATATTAGTAAAACTAGGCAATAATTATGAGACGGAGGGAGTATATTTTATTGTGACCAAATATATTAATAAAAAATGATACAAAAATATAGGTCCATTTAGAGACCATCTTCTGGGCCATTCGAAAGCCATTTATCCAACTCTAAGCTAAAAGGTGTAGATCCTCTTATGTCAAAAATCCAATCCCGGTGATGATGTACGCCATACCCGTTTTCAAGTAATGTTTGGGTACCAAAGCAACTCCACTTTTGCACTTTCCTTTCGAGCCTAATTGCATAACCAATCCTTTAATTAAAGAACTAACAGATGAAGAAAAAAATTTTTGAACAAAAAAAAGAAGAAGGCAATACCTGGAAACGTCACTCCCCACTAATTATTTTCTTGGTAGTCCACTTTCAGTTCCAAAATCAGCACCAAAAAGAATCAAAAGTGAATGTCCAGCAAACAAAAGCTTTCACCGGGAAGAGGCAAGATAAAATGTCATTCCACAAATCCCTTTACGCTCCTGCACCCTAGTAACAAAGAACAATCCAACAAAATCTACATGTTACCATCAATTATATCCCAAAGACCACAGAGGTAGTAAAGGAAATGAACCACTAAAGTTCCAACCTCCCAAATTAATTAATTTTTCTGATACCTTAGAAAGAATACTCAACAAAAGGTTTCATGTTGATTATCAGCTTGCTCTAGAATAATTGAACTTCTCAGAAAGAGGAAAAAGGGGATTATATTAGATTGGAGACCTAAAGTAGGGTTACTTTTTAGTATGTCAAACTATTACCAATTTGAAATAATCCACTTTCATGAATGAACTTATAAATCAACAGTTTTATGAATCCAATTTCAAATAGTCACCTGACCTGATAGATAAACGAAAAATTAAATTTCACAGACTAAAATAACGAAAGCTGTGATGTGAACATCTATGGTAATCAAGTCCAAGATGATCAAGGTGTTCGGGTTCCAAGTACTGTCCAAGCTCAAGGAGTAGCTCAAGATCCATTATCCAACATTGGAGGTTCAATGACTCAAGCTAGAAGTAAAAGGATGAGGAGTGCACTTAATAATCATCTATCAAATGGTTTAGCCCAAGAGAATGTCAAGTCTAGAAGTTACAAGCCCAAGATTATTAATGTGTTACAAGGCCCATTTGAGGAAGGAAATTTCGGCCCACAAACCAAGCAAGGGAGACCAGCCCTATCTCCTAATTTTTAGGAGTTGGAATCTCTATCTTTTAGGGATAAAATCATTTAAATCTTATCATACTTGTGGGAAGGATAAGATTTGGAAAATTTCCTATCTTTTAG